TGTGCGTTTTAGAATGATAATGTTTCCAAGGGAATCAAGTTCTTTGATTCACTTTGTTATGAAAATATACACTAGTGGGGCATAATTATCTGATAAAATGGTAAGTCTTTTTGCCGTTTTACAGCAGGAGTCTCTAACCAGTTCATTACGGGGAGAAATAAAGCTCACCCTCGAGTGTTTGCATTAACGCAATAGAGCTACGAATTTACATTTAATTAATCAAACTTGAATGAAGAGTTGGGCTGAAAGGTTATTACACGACTGTCTGGATACGCCACTAACCGTATAAAGGTTTGTTCAACATTTCTAAGATTACAAGATGAGCCGGGGAAAGTTTTACGAGTCTGGGAACAACATAAATAACGACGCTTAGCAATCAGGCCCTAAAAGTCTAGACGGTTAATTGCCGCCCGTTTAATTACGCCCGGCTGGCTCGGCAACCGTCTATGATTCCCGGGACGGATGGCGTGCAAACTTAAGAATCAGGTGTCCGTCCCGAGTGCGAAGGGGTGGATTTTAAGGGTGGGTTTTTTCGGGAGGGTTTGGTGATGTATTGCGCGGGGGACGCGTTGGCTATATTGTAAATCATTCCATTGAAGAAAGTACGGCGTTTGCGTAGGCTAAACCCTCATGGGAGCAAAGCCGTGCTGTTACTGTAGAATTGTTCCCTTTAAACCCAGCCGCACATATTTTTGCATTCGATCAGAATGTTTTTCTTATGAATACGTGCAAAACGGGAGTTAAAAAGGGTTAAACAAACTGTTTAACTGTTTTACTTAAAAATGTTTAATTACATACGTTTTCAAATTTCTTTTACAGCGAGCGTAGGTACTTCCATGTTTCAAATAAATAACTCTTATTAGAATTAATAAGACAGAACGTTTTGAGAAATATGTATATTCCAAAAATATATACACCAAAAATTGTTCTACTTATATTCGAATAATTATATTCATAATTATAAAACAATAATTAGTATCATTGGATTTTACCTACTAAGGTAACTTATTCCACTTCATTCTTTAACGTTTTATTATTCGTTTCTCAGTCGTGTTATAGGCGGTTTTCATGTCATCACAATAATCGTTTTTTGTCGAACAGAGAAATGAGAATCGATTTTAGATTTACTTGGTTAAGTGAGGCATTTGGGATGCTCATCGTTGTGCGAAAATAACTTAATAAACTTATATTTTTAACAAAAACTGTTTATAAATTGATGTTTGTAGAGTTTTTAACTATTTATGATTTTCATGTCTTACTCTATATGTAGGTTCTATGGTCTAATATTGTATATTACGATACAGGCCTCCCTCTTAGTTTCTGTTTTATTATTTCTAAAGACCAAAGAAGTCGAAATAAAATAAATGTATCAAGTAAAGTGTGGTGTTTAGTGACCGTTAGCCAATGATTATTTGGAGATCGTGAGGTGCGGTCTGGTGTGACGTAGGTTTTAGAAAAACTTTTTCTTTATCGTACCAACATTTTGATCTTTGTTGAGATCATCTTCAGGGCTCAGTGTTTGTATTTCGTGTACATGTTTCATTATCGTATCAAAGTATCAAGTAAATATATTACTAACATTACGTGTAGAGAAAGAGGTCTGACCTAATTTAGCTGATTAAATAAAGCGATCAATCAATCGATCAATCCTTCTCTCAGAGCTCTTACGTTCTCTCATTTTAGTGTATGATTTTTTTTGCCTGTATGATTCTTTCATTTTCTCTTTCTTTTTCCTATCTCTGACCCTGTTTGTCTTTCTGAGCCTCTTGTTTTCTCTTTAGTAGCTTTCTTTCTCTTACTTTCCCTTTTTTCCCGTTTCTAATGTCCCTCCTCTTTCTCTCTCTGCCTCTCTCTCTCTCCTCTCTCCTATCTCCTCTCTCCTATCTCCTCTCCCCTCTCCTCTCTTCTCTCTCTCTCTCTCTCTCTCTCTCTCTCTCTCTCTCTCTCTCTAGCTTTTCTTTCTTCTCTCTTCCGCTTTTCTCGAGGTTTCTACCCGCAGTTTTAGGCAGATTGAGGCGGGCTTTTCCCTAGAGTTTTATTGAAATAAAGTCAGTGGAGTAAAGTGAAAAGTATCTGCTCGAACAATAATAAGATTTTTCTTGTTTGGAAGGCATGACCTAAATCAGTATTTTTTAAATTCATTTACGTTTTAGTGGCCAATTGACTAAGTTACATCTTTCAATTAATTATTCTTTCAATGTAAGGTCTTAGTTGAGATAAAAAGTCTCGAGCGGGATTCGAACCCACGACCTTCGGCTAAATACATCGCTGCTCTACCACTTGAGCTATCGTGACTTCGATCCCCTCAGACGCCAACTCTCCATCTCAACCTACAACCTCCCGAGTTTTCCCTACTTTTTGCCATTTTCAATTTTTTTAAAATAATAAACCGTCTTATTTTATTTGAAATGACTAACACGCATTTCATTTCCTACATAATACAGTGCAAATCTTCAACAAATTAAAAAAAAATATTTTGCAATTGGTTAGATTTTGAATGGACAGAAATAGAAGATATTGGCAGAGGTGGAACACCCTGCATATATAAATGTAAAAATCTACAGAATTGTCAGTTATGATACTATAATAAGGACGTAAAAAACTTAAAACACTTAGATCTTAAAAGTTTAAAAAGATAATAAGCCAAAAGGTAAATACGTTTTGCAATGATATTTATCTTTACCTGTTTTATTATTGAAATGAGTATTAATATGACAAGAACCTATTTTTCTCTTCATGTTCGTAATACAAGGTTTCTGTTTGTAATCGTCCGATGAAATCGATGTATTTTTAATGGACGTCTGCACATGTCGGACCAAGCGTGTAATCTTATGTATCAAGGCACACATCAAAATCACCTCACATTTACATTTAAGCCGTGAAGGGGCAAATTCCCTTAGTCAGCACGGATCAAGGGCGGCTGTTAGGCCCCTCATTCCCTTCGGTGCGGGTATAAAGTGATATCGCCACTTAGAGCTCTTTATCCATCGAGACAAGTGCGGAAGAGAAATTCTGGAATTCGGCCAAACCGTTGAACGTGGCCTTTTCAGAAAGCCAACCTCAGCCCAGGAACGAATTCTCAGTGTGGGGCTGAAGCGTGTATCAAAACTGTCATAACTTCAATTAACGCGAAGCTTCGGTAAGCCTTTTCGCCCTACATCACCCTGATGTGGCAGATATAAAGTAAACACTCGCACTAGTGCACTAGTATGCAAATTAATATAAGAGCCCTTAATATCATCAAAATGAATCCCTTTTAAAATATTTAAGCAGCGTTAGGGTCAGAAAATATTGATATAATTTAATACTACTATTTTCATTTTATAACATTTTCTGAGAAAAGTAATGAAAAGAAAATTCACAAAAACTGGGTGTAGAGATAAAAAGCTACAGAAAATTAATATAACCAAAAATATAAAAATATCGTTTAAATCAAGATAATACATTTATACTGTTTTATCAGTTAAAGTCCATTTAACAAAAAATACTAACATTTTTAGAAATCTCTATATTTTCAAAAATCGATTTCCTTATTGAGCATTCTTTGTAATGTTATCCAGTTTATTTTACGCATTTCATTTCTATTTGTGGACATCTTGATTCATTATTATCTAAAAATTTGTAAAGAAACCAATTTATTTGATTATCTTTTTTTCTCTCGTTCAGTTTGTTTACATGCGTGTTCCTTTCAATTTCTTTAACAGTTTTGGGTCTTTTTTTGTCATTTCTTATTGGACTAGTAGATTCACTATTACATTGCGTTTGTTTTTGTTTATCTGTTTACTACATTAATATAATGATAATTGTTCAAACAACTAAAACTAATTGCTGTTATTTCGTTATTCTACACACGGTTTGAATGTATGTCATTCTCTTTCACTTTCTTTAATTTTCCCTCTCACTCACTCTCTCTCTCTCTCTCTCTCTCTCTCTCTCTCTCTCTCTCTCTCACTCTCTCTTTCTCTCGCTTTTCTATTTTCTTCTCTTCTCTTCCGGCCAGTCAGTAAAGCCCTCCCTTTCTTTCTTCCTCTTCCTGTCTCTACGTCTTTCTTGTTGGTTTTTCTCTTTCTCCCTCTCTTCCACTCTGTCTATACGCCACTCCCTTACATTTCCTCTGTTTCTGTCAGTTTATGTTTTTGCCACTTTTTTCTTCTCTCTGCCAGTCTGCCTGTGTGTCCCTCTGTTTCTTCTCCCTTTCAGTCCTCTATCTCTATATCTTTTTTTCTCTCTTTCAGTTTGTCTATGTGTTTCTCCCTTTCAGTTTCTATAACTTTTTTCTCTGCACTAGTGTTTCTGCAAAACTAGATTTAGGTTTCGAACTATTTCATACCACTAGTTTGTTTTTAATATTACTTTTAGTTAAAAAGCCAGGGGATATGCCAGGATTCGAACTCACAACCGCAAGCGATACAAAACGAGTCGGTTACCCTAACTTCTCGCCCACCGCGCTTCACCCCTGTGCTGGTGTATCCTTTCTTTTTGTCTTTTTCACCCCTCCTCCTCTTTCTATCTATTTATCTAATTTGAATATCTGTAAGACTTTTATTCCTCTGGTCCTCCGACATTATACAATTGAGCTGGCACGTATGTCCGTGCTGTTCTTTCTATCTAAAAACAAAAATGGGAGAATAACGTCGTTCCTTCATTTTTTTTTTGCATCATGATTCTGACATTAAGTTTACCATCCGTCTTCGAAGTTTAGAAAACTTTCAAAACTGAATCGAATACGTATCTACATCATCAATGAGGTTTTACCAAACGTTTTTGAAAGAGCCAACCAGCCAATTTAAGTAAATTGATATTTATCATATAAAAATATTAAAAAATAAACTACAGTAACATAAAAGGTTGTGAATCGATTGTATAGTTTTATTTCTCTCATTCTCTACCAGATTATGTATTTTTTAAAACATTTCTTTCAATTAAAATCACAATTACGTTTGTTATTTTTTGTCTGTGTTTAAATACTTTTATTCTTATAAAATGTTGATCTTTTTCAGGTCTGAGGGAATACAGAGGTCCGAGAATAACGGAGCACCCGGGCAATCTGACAGTGCCGAGACACGAGCCTGCGACCCTCTACTGTAAAGCCGAAGGTCTTCCCGAGCCGACGGTCACATGGTACAAGGACGGCGAAGTGGTCACAACAGGCCAACATAGAGTCCTTCTTCCGGCCGGCAGTCTTTTCTTCCTCAGAGTCTCAAACGGCAGGAAGGACAACGACGCAGGCGTCTACTGGTGCGTGGCCAGCAATTCAGCAGGATCGGCCAGGAGCCGTAACGCCACTTTAGACGTAGCAGGTAAATCGTTAATTCAATAACAAACAATACGGATTTTTCTTTTTATTTATCTATCCGGCCAGTTCGCTGACACAAAATCAAATATGTCTCTGTGTTGTTAATGTTTCCCCGACCCTGTATTCCTTTTGATTATATATTTACGACGGCTGAAAGATTCTTTGAGCACACACGGACTGAATTATGGCCCATCCTACCCCCTTATCCATCGCCATCCCTTGTCAAAATATCATTTAATTCTCTACCCTTTTTCCTTTTTTTCCGTCCGCTTTGCTTGTTTTATAACTATTTAATACAATTCCTTCTCTTTACGTACCATAATAACCAAATTACTTTACTAATAAAACAATTTTTTCTTCTATACGAGAAAAGCAGCCTTATTCATAAGTATTAATTACATGAAAAAGACATTTTGCGACCCTTTTTACATAAAATATTATGTAATTACGCAATTTTCACAGATATAAAAAAAGTCCAAAACTGTAAATTCAACATACATGCTGCACTCCTTTTATTATTTCTATATAATAATAAATATTCTATATAATAATAAATATTCTATATAAATATTCTATATAAATATTCTTCTATATAATAATAATATTCTAAGTACAAATAATAAAAGGAAAAATAATTAAATTGTGTAATCTAACAGTAACATGTGGCATGTACTGGCCACTACTTATAAAATGTATAATTTAATCCAAGGCTAAAAAATATTGTATTATACGGTAAAAGTGCCGTAAAAACAGTATCAGTTTATGTTTACACGTGGCAATTTATGTTTGGTTAGAGAGGTCAGAATGTCCCTTGCTTCTGAGTCTGCGTTGTGGTCGATGACGGATGAGGATAACGTCCTGGATAATTGTATTTACGTGGCACCGTCTGGCCGTGTCCATGAATTTATCGAATCACATTTTCGACTGTACAGTCTGGGAAAACGGTTCTGTTTCTGCAATCATCAAGCATATTGCTCCATCTAATTTTTTTCTACCTGAGGCAAGCCAACTTTATGAAATCCTACAGTGGGGAATAAAACAATTAATAACGCTGTAAAGTGTAGCAATAAAATTTTATTATTTAGGAAAAGGTCGTAAGGTTTTTCTCTCGTACTAGACGGTATAATCGTCCAATTTAAATGCAAATTGACCTAACCTAGTCCGCCCAGGCAAAAATATATATCTTGCGTTTTATAACGAACAGAGTTGTAAAATCTTTAATGCACTTCTCCATTATGACTAATTGAATAACAATTATAATTAAATAAATAATTACACATCTGCTAATAGAAAATAGAATTATATGCAAACAAGTAAAACACATTAAACTGAACAAAAAACACATCATAATTTATTAAAAAAGTATTGTAAGATTATAATAAATGACTATAATAAGCTCAGCTGGATTTTGAAGAAGGTTGGTATACATTTGGCGTCAGAACTGCACAAGTCAGACAATATTTTCACATGAAGGTGACCTTTTTAAGTCTTCTAGCCCTCTTTGCCAGAAATTCCCCAGCATTCCTGCAGTCTTAAGTGTGTTTTTTTTATTGTTTTGTTTTAAAAAATCCATTTAAAATTAAAAAGATCAAATCAAACATAAAATCTTTTGATTTATAACTTTTAAGAATTCGTATATTTTTATGTAACATACAAATTATAAATCACTGGATAGTTGCTCTGGTTCAGCAATAGGACCAGTTAAAACATAAGAAAATCTTCTTGTAATATAAGCCAGAAGAACTTGGGTATATAAAAAATGGTGCGAAAACGTACTTCAATATTATTTAAACAGCTTGAAAGAGTTGTTGTCTCTCTCTCTCTCTCTCTCTCTCTCTCTCTCTCTCTCTCTCTCTCTCTCTCACACACACACACACACACACACACACACATACACACACTTTATTTGTCTTTTATATATGTATCATCTTCAAATGTCTTAAGAAAAGATATTTTATTATCCGGTGGGGTAGCCGTATGGATAGGACGTGTGATTCGTATTTACCACGCTAGAGGGTTATGACTTCATGAGTTCGAGTCCCTCCATAGTACGTACATTTTAATTGTAAATAATATGAAGCAAATGTGAATAAGAGGTTTGACTTATCTCTCCATTGGACGTGTGTGAATTGTTCTTTGAGTTATTGAAAGACATCCACCCTGAATTGGTTGAAGTCATTCACTTTGCAACACTTAGTGTTATGTTGTTCATGCTCACAATTCAACTGTAGTAATGTGTTTCTTGGATCAGTCCTGGTGAATACGCACCTTGTCTAATCCTTTGGCCGCCACTTTCACCTGATTTAATCCCTTTTTTAAGTTTATAGAAATTTACTGCCAAAAATAGCCGGCAGGAATTGCCAGGAAGGATCAAGGAAGCAAGTAGTGCAAATGAGAAAAGGTCAACAGTAAGAGATTTTTCGAGAGAATAGAAAAAAACACGGATGTGTGACTACGAAAGCGGAAGGCAGTTCAAAGTTTGCCCTTAATTTTTTAATTTCCTAGTTTATACATATTTCGTTGTTTATTGACTTTGTTAATTCATCTTTTTTATTGTTTAATTATTTTTCCTTTTCTTAACTGTGTTAACTTTTCCTCAAGCCTGGTTGAAAATGAAAGAGGGGAAAAGTCAAAAACACCGAATCTCGATATAATTGTTTTGTGTATGTCGGTTTTTATTTGTATTGATTTAGTTTATTTTTTAACGAAGGTACTGAAGAGAAGGTATCGACCATTTGAAGTTTCAATTGATGTCTGAACTGTATAAGGGTCAAGGGGTAGAATAAAAAACAAAATTCCAACTTCGCCAAGATTTTGACCCGGGCCTCATCAGGGCCTATATTTTCCAATAAATTAACGGTTATTTTACAAAAACAAACAACTATCAATTTTTGGCAGAGGTAAATACTTACTATATTGGGTTTTTTACAATAAAATTTGTAGTAAAAAGACATTACAAAACGAGGAATGGTAACTCTTAATATTTTATACATACACATTCGAAAAACCTAACGAAACAATTACCTCAACTATAAGATTGAAGGACACGTGATAACATAATCACACCTGTGAGGTCCTCTCCCTTGTAACAAACCCGAATAAGCAGGACTGATTTTTATGAAAATCATTCTGCACATTACAAGAGTTCTTTTCCACGTTAATGTACAAAGTCATTTTTACTTTTCTTCTTAACTCTGAAGATTCTTTTTACAACACGTCAACGCTATCAAATTCAAAATTGTTCCCGGTGTTGTGACAACCCGGTTAACAATTCGCATTGATCTTTACAGTCATGTTTATGTCCATAAACTCTTTTTTTAGCCTTTGCATGGCCTGGTCAATGTATTTGTCAGGGCATCCCATACAGGATACTCTATAAATAATAACGTTAGAAGTGTTACACAAATCATGTTTATCTTTTACCTTTGTGAAGAATTTATCCAACTTATTTGAATACTTAAAACAAATATTTGTATCAGGTACATTGTTTTTTATGAGTATCCTCACTTTATTGCTAACACCAGGTACAAATGTTAAGCTTTTATAAATCCTATATTATTCCAAAGCATGGCAAAGTTGGACTTTTGTTTTTTATTCTACCCCTTGACCATGTACTGATCGTACATCAAATTTAACGAGGGTATTTCACCTACTAGGTTATGAACACTCGGAGTGCCAGTGATTTGGGAAAAAAGCCCATTTGTAAGTATGTCGGATTCGAATGGAGGGCCGCTGGATTCGAACCCGGGACTTTTACCTTACAGTGATGAGCGCCGTGTCAACACCCAAACCGTTGCGGCCACTGACTCCACTATGTACCTCGGGGCAACTTTGCTAGATTTCAATGAAAAAAATCCATTTTCATACAAAACAATGTATTTTAAAAATGCACTGCAAGAAAACATGTTGTATTAAAAAAATTTGATTGTGATAAAAAAAAACGTACAAAAGTTTTTTTATGTAAAAATAGTTTAAGTAAAAAAAATTAAAGGGGTTACAATTTAACTTTTCACATTTGTATGCACAGATTATTTTACTGTAAAAGCAACTGATCCGTATAAAAAAAAACACGTATTTTAAAACGTTGTTAAAAACAAAATCTGTATTTTCATTAATTTTTTCTGATTTTAAAAATTAATTAAAAGGTGTAAAAGTTATTTTATCTCTTTCAGATAAAAAGTAGTTATCTTTTTACCGATCCGGTTTAAATGTTATTTGTTTTTAATATTAGGTTTAACGACCACGTATTGTTTGCAATCGGTACAACCACGCGACTATTATCGTCAAAGGGATGTTAAACACGCTATTACGTTTGTTAACAGACTTAAGCCAAATGCGCCCTCGAACGGTCCCGGAATAAAATCTGGCGGCGTAAGTGTAATCCATGCAAAAGTTTGGGATGGAATTAACCCGTTGGGAAACGGGGGATTTACACTTGTAATCCCCGTTGGGCCGGAATTCCTTTTTTAATTGGGAAACACTGTCCGAATGTCGGAGGAGGGATAGCCGGAGGGTCCCAACTTGTAGGAAATGAGGCTGGGCCCGGCTCCGGGCACTTGTATTAATTCCCGGTAATGGAGGGTGAGATAAATGATTGGGGAAGAGCCGGCCGAAGGGAGGATCGAAAGAAGGATTTACATCGGATTCCCGGACTCAAATCCTTGATTAATTGCCCGGGTTCTTGTCATTCTCAGAATTTTATCGCCTTTCCTAGTACAAAACACGTTTAAATCCTTAATAGGACCCTTGTACCATCACGGGTATGTTTACAAATTCTTTAAAACAATCCTATTTTTAATCATTAAGATAGACAAATATTGGTCTAACGTCTATTCGAAAACTTATTTATTTACGTTTATTTTCTGTTTTTTTACAACAAGTATTATATTCTTTAAAAAATTACCTTAGGGTTTGGGCGCGTATATTGGCTTCATCTTTCTTGCTGAGGTGGATTAATTCTAGGATATTTGATTGTTCCGTTAGGTGCTTTGTTATATTTCGGTA